GACTCAAGTGTGGCAGCAGTAGTGAGGTTGGCCCAGGATCGGACATTGTTTCGTTCTGCTGTGCATGGGGTCGCTATGAGTCGGTTCCGACTTGATGGCACCTGACAACAATGATCATATTCTAACAGACACAAAGACTCAAAAGATCAATTGATGCACTAAGGGGCTGTCTCCTAGTTCATGTCAGCATTCCTCATGGAACACAGAAAACCAAGAAATAGCAGGTGAAGAAACAAGGAAATCTTACAGATTCATTTCTGACCCAAATTCAGGAATACAATGACAGCAATTACCATATTACAGTACTCTCATTTTCTGCTTTACTTTTTCTTCTTTTTTACTCCATGCTTATTTGAGAAAATTTAAGTGCAAGGTTAGTTCAGATGTATGGCAAGGAAAAAGGCTTGAAGGAAAAGAAACTAGGAAACAACTAACACAGAGTACTATAAGCAATATTGGGGACCACCAGGTCAAGGCCAGGGCCTGAGGAAACCCAAGGAGAACACTGTCTGACGGTCAAAGTTCTAGGATGAGAAAGACATGAAGAAACAATATTTTTGTGTGAAAGAATAAGAATTAAATACAGTCATGCTGCAAAGAGGCTGGGATAGAAGGCTCTTCCATGGGTCACACCATCTTCACTTCAGCTCAGGAGGCCTAGAAAAGAGAAGAACGTTGTTTACAAATTTAACTCCACAAATGACTTCTTTCCCCTCTCTTAAGGCCTCATGGTATAATAACCCAGTCAGAAAAGATATATGAGAAAAAAAACCAAAACAACAAAAAAACAAAAACGCTTTAATTTTCCAACACCCAATGCACCACAGGCATCTAAGCAGAGAGAAAAATCTTTAGTAGAAACTGCCTGATGAGAAATTGGAATTCAGTGTCTTTCCTCACATTTTTTTTTTTTTCCCCCCAATTTAAGGTTTTTATTGTGGATTGAGGGAAAGATTACAGGGCACATCATCAGTTTCACATTCAACCATTCATATAACTTGTTTCATTACATTGATTATAAT